AGTTAATGTTTGGGTTAGTGCCCGATTCCTACTGAGGGCCTTCAATTGTCTTCATAATAAGGAGGGGGATTTGGGTTTGTAAGGGGCATGTGTTCGCTTCCTATGACGGAGGCACCGGACTCAAAAGAGAGGCAGATGACACGCGCGGGGGGTTTGATGGTACGCACATGCGAGGCTTCCCATCGCGCTAGCAAAGGGGTCCAATTTCAGCACCATGTGAATGGAGTGAGAGGAAGGAGAGGGAAATTAACTTTGGGGAATCCATTCCATGGCAAATCAGTGCATTTCTCAAAATAATAACTCCTACGCGCCTGAATCAATCAAAGCATCCTGAAAGTCGTATCTAGGAATGATGTCAACTGGTGGAGTAATTCATTCCTTCTCAGGGCTGAGAGTCAGGCTCAGTTGCTATTTATGGACATAGCCTCTGCAATACTCACACACGTGAGGCCCGGGTCATCCATGTGAAAGCCTAGTACATTCTTAGGATCCTGGTCGTACGTGTCACGCACCGGCAGGGTGCCTAGGTTTGCTAGCCACTACACTTGAGCCCGCTTCTGGTCGGCCTGACTCCCTCTCGCCATTCGGGTCAGGTGAGTGAAAGTGAAGAGGGTTAAAGATGCTGCGCAAGTCTATCTAATTAAAAGCTAATTCGCGCACAAGTCACCATACTGCGCTCACCACCCGTGCGCCACACAAAAGAAATTGTCGCTCGTGACTGTTGAACTACTAGGAGACACAATAAAAGTGTTTGAACTAACGGCCAGATGTTTTCTAGTTAAGCGCCTTTCGTTCCAATTTAGATTGCTCAATGCCTAACACCAGGTAAACAAGGTAATCATATGAATGTTGAAAGATCAAATAAGCAAGCCCAGCATCACATAAATTATTAACTTCTTTCCTTTCGTCTTCAGTGGGACATACTGTCACGAAAAAAGCTAATTTTTAGCCATTCACTAGGGGCCTGGTTCGATAATTTTCGGCGGCTCGATTGTCTACTTCAAGTTTCATTTAAATTTAGTTTTGAAAACACTGTATTGAATGCATTACCATTCGACCCCTCTTTTATACAGGAAATTAAAGCACCCTCTGCATTAACGAGCACCCACATGTTTAGGCAGCTAAGCAGTCTTCGGTTATGGAAAATAAAAGGACAAATGTGTAATGTAGCTAGCTTACATTCGCCATGCAGCAAAGTGCACATAACAACAAACCTTGTTCACCCGCACATAGAGACCTCTGTCTTCGCATCTAAATACGGCAAAGATTAAGACGTCGGTACCAAAAACGGAGCGATCCGCGAGGAAGCGAGGTGTAGCCTTAAATATAATTACCCCAAAAAGTACTTATTAGACCCATCTGAGGGCTTGGAGGTAAATTAACAAGATCTGCCTACGGATGAAGTTTTAACACTCCCCTTGATGTAGCATAACTATCTTCCTCCAGAAAATGGGGAGGGGTTAGAAATAATCGACCGTAAAAATGGACTAATTGTGGGCTCTTATTCTTACTTTCACTTTTACTTTCCTCCTATACGCAGTCGAAACAAACAAGAACTCTGTTATAACATGGGTGCACGTGTCGAAATATTTGGCAAACTGCGCATCGTACCGTTTCTCAGTGTTTTTCACTCTTATCCTTACTTACTGCTTTCGTGAGGCCGTGAGGTGGCCGTATGTCGTGCAAGAATAAGCACCAAATAGATTGTAATGTAGGTCATCTAACATTTTTATACAGTGCTGGGATCAAAATTTATTAGCTGAGTACTCAGACAAATTCTATCTAAGTGCACGGTAAGAAGTTGCATCTCGACTGATTTTGCGCGTTAACTGTGCTTTTCTGGATTTAACTTCGGCCTTCAATTCTGCGCCGGCTTGAGTAAACTGTTGCAGGAGTTCTATTGTTGGCAGCAGATGACAAAACTTAAACCTCGACCAAACTCGACTCATGACGCACTAAAACTACCGCCAATCATTTTGCTAAGCTAGTTAAATTGTATAGTTTGAGCTCGTAAATGCGTCTGAAATATCCAAATCGAGGAGAGAAAACCAGCTAAACAGTTAATATACTTCACAATTAGGGAGTACTGGTTTGTGAACGCGGTTTCCCAGACTAACTTTCAGAGTGATAAGTACCAATGAGGGCCGTGGGATAACATGTATATTTTAACACTGTGAATAAAGTAAAAAAGCAATGGTTAAGTCCTAAATTATCGTGGGATGTCTCGGATCTAATAGAGCTGCTATAATTTGTGTTCAGTCGAGAACTGTTCAAGTTATTGAAATACAGCTGCATGCACTTGCGAGGAATGCGGTACGCCTTAGTCAGCCCACTTAAAACAGGTACACGACAAATAAATGCCAAACTATCTATCAAGATTGCGCTGGGACAATGCCGGTCCACCCATGACATGGTTTAAAGCCCGAATACTCATAAAAGTAGTAAATACTAGTTCTTATGAATGTTGTGGTGAGCTTTAGAGCAAAAAAGGCTCACGCTTTTGCCGTTAACTGAGAAATCGAGAGGGCTATCCAAAATAAGCATGACAGCGGCATCTAACTCGGCACTAACAGTGTATATCAGCGGGCAGCAGATTGAACGTGCGTAACTTTACATTCAGGCGGGTTCGTCTACCGAATCCAGGACCGTCCATATGCTTAGTTTCTAAAGTATTTATCGACGAAACTTTTATTTGCACACTTCATGCAGAGCCCGCAGTACAAATTCCCAACGAAATTTTATAAACCAGCTAT